TGTAACTGACCCCAAGAACTCACCTTCCTTAAAAGAAAATTCCAGCCATCCTGAAATGAATTACTGGTTAACTACTATTAATATGCCATAGAGCTGGAGAGTCGTCTACAACACTGCAAGATCAATAACAGTATTTATCGTGCATCATATTGATCTTCTGTGAAAGAGTGGGCCGTATTTCACACTGTGTACATAGTGCAAAAAAAGTAGCACCGATTCTGTACAGGAATTAGTAAAGTTGTAGAAAAGAGCTTAGAGATCCAAGGGCAGAACTGCATGAAGGAATACTGTTGTCTCACTGCAATAATGTTGCTCCCACTTGGGAGAGCCTCTGATGGCCTTATGTTTTAAGTAAACTGAGCGAGAATTTTAACCACTTTTTTGGGGTTGCTGTTCTAATTTCTGTTCCTTCCTGTACAGGTTCAGTCCCATGTTTTTAATTATGTCCTGTTTGCAACTTGCAAAATGTTGAAATTTGTGGCTAGCGGGCCAGGGAAGGACCCAGGAGCTATGTTTTTCCATGTAGAGGGTGACAGCCAAGACGTGAGTCCAGCTCCTGCAGCAGCCCTCTTGTTTTAAAGGGCAGGTGGAGGGGCAGAGTGGGAGTCTGATGGCGCAGCAGCAGTTGCCTTGTTGAGAGCTTAATTCCTCTTGAAAATTGCTCCCCTTAGAGCAATGAACCTCAGGGCTGCCCCTCGTGCAGGTGTTGTAATGCGGCAAGCTCTGAGGCAGAGGAGGACCCTCTCCTTGCCAGCAAAGCCATTCAGCTGTGGTGAATTACATTTGGGGAAAAAAAAAGCCCATAGCTGAAAGCTGCTTTCTTAACCTTGGTATTCTCTCCTTGCTGGTGGAAAACACAGCCACAGGCTGACAGCCTCCCTTGAGGGGGACACCTTGCTTGTTCAGTGACTGGAGGCAAGGCTGTAGGAAGGTTCAGCCTGTAGTTAAGAGTCAAGAATGACTGGAGGTACAGGCCAAAGACTGGCCAGAGGAACCCCAGTTAGTTAAAGCTTAGTTACAGCCATTACTTCCAAGAGATCTGCCCTATTCTGGAATCGGTGCCCGTTGCCGAGGATGCTGCAGCTCAGAAGCAGTGTGCTTGCCCACCAGCTACCTAGCAGACTTCAGCTGGAGAGAACAGTCATGGATGCAGCACAAACTCCCTTTGGCATAAAATAAACATGAAATATTCTCTGGGCAGATCTCCAAATGCCTTGTTTTATCCCTAGGACAGTTTAGCAGGGTTCTTTGGCCTTTAATTCTGCTCCCCTTGGCACTTAGCACTTCTTTGAAGTACTGTGCGTTGAACAGTACCCCATGTAAGTACTGGCTGGTCTGGCCTGCTTTTCCTCCTGAGCTTTCATTGCTCAGAAAAAAGTCAAGACTTCCAGGGCTTTCTCCATTAATAGCAAAACTCTT